GGGCTCAGAGTGATGGCTCAGCAGTTAAGAGCACTTGTTGCTCTTGCAGGGGACACCTACATGGTGACACACAAGCATCTAGAATGCCAGTTCCAGGGGATCTAATGTCCTCTTCTGGGTACACACCAGTTCACAAATATATAAACACTAGGAAAAACACTCATATACATTAAAATAGGAAATTTCTACACACACACACACACCTAAAAAGACAAAGGACTGCACAAGCCATCTCAGCTAAAGAGTGACATTACACAAGCTCATAAGGGACTTTTAAACCTGATGTTTACAAATTCAGCTTTGGTTACACCCATTACAGAGGCTTCATATGGTGAATTCCCAAAGGACAAAGAACTAGAGAAGGGACAACCAAATGCAGATGATTTCACCAACTAGACGATTCTTGTCAAGCTCAGAGGGAAAGGACTGTAGGAGGTACTTCAAACGACTACCTGCCTTACAGAACTTCAGAAGACAAACCCTCAGGTTGATATTTCTCATCTCACACTTAGTAACATCAAAGAACACAGCACACAGACCCCAAGAAACTGGATGACTTATCTCAACTACATCAACAGCGGAACTCCCCAAGTAACAGAATGTGCAACCCCTCTAACATACGCCTACTAGCTCTTACTTTTTATGTTTTCAATTCTTTTATATTTAGATTTTTTTTAATCATTTAAGATATCTGGAACTTTCTTTGATATATTCCTAAGTGAGAAGAATAATGCTAACTTTGGTCTTAATGAAGCTATGCACCTTTTTGTTTGTTTGTTTTTTGATTTTTTTTTTTTTTTTTTGAGACAGGGTTTCTTTGTGTAGCCCTGGCTGTCCTGGAACTCACTCTGCAGGACAGGCTGGCCTTAAACACACAAGGATCTGCCTGCCTCTGCTGCCTGAGTGCTGGGACTAAAGGCGTGTACTACTACCCCTGGCTTATGCACTTTTATTAATCATGTTTTTGCTGTAACTAATTGCTTACCTAGACCACCTACTTTACTTAATTCTTCATGTTTTGAAGGTTTTTTTCCCCACTGCATTTGTTAAGGAAGTCTCTCACAAGCCCTTGGAAATGTGACTACAGTTAATGGAAGAGATCAGTCTCAGGTCTGCAAAGGCTGCAGGGATTTTTGCTGCCAGCAGCTGAGTCATGGAGGGCAGACCAGACTCTTTCTGAAGACACCTAGACTGATAATCTCCTGGTACCAAATGACTAACAGGAAGGTATTTTGTACACATGTTCTCACCAGAGGGAAGGGAGATTATATCATCTTGCTCAAAACATTTTCGTATTTGAAACTTAGAAAATATTTCTGGAATTTTCCGTTTCCTATTTGTGAGCCACAGTTGACCACACGTAACTTAAACCATGGGTAAGGAAAGACTTCCACACATTTCCCCCTGAAATCCAGTAGGACGAGTTTGACTCTCCATCCTTCTACATCTGTATGTATAATCTTTGTCCTCCAAGTTTTGGTTTCAACTTTTAAAATAAAGCTAATAAAGTTAGTTCCTTACGACTGCTTTGGGTTTAAAGTGAAATGATGGGTTAGTTTTACATGGTGAGTTGCTAACCAAATGCTAGTTTCTCTCTTTCACCAGCTCTATGACCTGCTGCACACACAGATGCTGCTGAAGCCCAAGGTTAGTTCTTCACATGCTTTGGTAGACACATCCCACTGACCGTAGAAGGAACAAGCTCCTCCACACTGCATACTCGATTCTGCCAGGCCCCTGTGTGAGACATCGTGTTGACCACCACCACTGACCAATGGGTGTTGCCATACCACATAATTAGGACATGTGTGTTCCACACAGCCGTGAGATTGGATGGTCCAAGTGAAGCCACAGCCCTGTTAGGTCTCTCCTCCTCTCTGACACCTAATCTATTGACTGTGGGGTTGATTCCTCTGCTGTAAGAGGCTTTTGTTTTGATAACACCCTGTAGTTCATAACTCTCCTCACAATTTTGTTTTTTCACTTTGTCCCCAAACTTTGGAACATAACTGGATCTTACCTCCCATGGGCACTGCACACCACACCTAGGAACCTCCTGCTTTAAGGTCCTTATAAATAGGAACACTTACTTTTCTCCATGCTATGAACAAATGCCTGGTGAAAAGCACCTTACGGATGGAGGTTATTTGAGGTCAAGATTTAAAGGTATATAGTCCCTCATAGGCAGGAAGGCATAGCAGCAGGAGAACAAGGTGGCTGGTCACATTCAATCCGGTCAGGAAGCAGAGAACAGATAAGAAATGAAACTTCAGTGTCTGTTCCCAGTAACTCAATTCCTTTAGCAAGACTCCAGTTATGAAGGTTTCTGTGTCCCTCCATGGCAGTGCCACTAGCAGAAACCAAGTGCAAACACATGAGCCCACAGAGGACATTTTATATTGAACCTACAACTGGAATGTTCAAAACTGCATCATACTAGCTGAGGTGCCTTGAACAAGTGGTTTCTGTATCTGCAAATGCCATAATGGATGCAGCTAGCAAGAAGGGGAGAGTTCAGTGGTATACATGACTATTATCCAATTTCAAAGGTATGACTTAGGAAAACTGTTCAGTGACTCAAACAGGTCTGAACCAGAAAGGGCTGCAAGCAAGGTAAGAACACACGCCACCACCATCTGGGGGTCAGAGGCATCCTGGCTACTGTCAGATTGCATGGCTACATATTAACCAAGCCCCAGTCCCCTACCCAGAGCAGAGCGACCACTGTTACAAAGCCTTTCATGTTTGTTCCACTCCCGTAATTATTAGGGTAACATTAACTAAGCCTGCTTCCTTGAAGTAATGCAAGACCTCCTCTTGCCTCTGAAGCCTTTAAGAGTAGGCACCTTGCTTTGTCAGGCAGGACTGAAGCTATGGACATCAAAATCCCACCATACTTATTACTTCCAAATAACTGAATTAAGCCAGCTAGCTCAAGACTTTCTCCCATCCCTCTCCCCAAGTCTTCCATCAGTTTCTTCTCAATGAACTGGGAGTGATTATAATAACGGGTAATTCATGGATTTGCTGGAAGGATACATGTGAATGACACTTAGGCCAGAGCCTGTGTCACAGAGAACACCAGAGAAAGGCTCACTGTGTCTGCTGTATGTGTTACACAGGATCACCATAGTAGGTCCCTGTCATTCAGAGAGAATGTGGCCCTCCTCCAGAGTAGAAAGTTCCTCAAACGTATTTGTCTCTCTGAACTCCAGACAACAGAGTGCTGAACTAGTAACTCATATGCCCTCAGAACAGGAAGGGGCATCGAGTCTCTCCTGAAGTCTAAGCTACACGGGTAGAGTTGAGCTGCAGAAGAGGCCAAACTCATTTTGGAAACGCAAAGCTGCATAGACACTTCAAATTGTTTTTCTCAAAGAGTTGAAGCAAATTAAGTTATTGGGAACAAAAAAAATAAAACAAAGATAAAATAACTGTGATTGTGGCAGCTTTTAAATGAGGAAGTGGGCTTCCAAAGTAGGGTGGAAGGAATGAACACCCTGGGGTCCATTTTTCACAGACTCAGCACCCTAGGGATTTTGATGTCCCCATTCTTCCATCTGTCTCTCTCAGGGTGCTTCAAGGATTCCCAAAGTGGAAGCCAATCTATGGGCCACCAGACTAATGACTCTTTGCTTGCCAACTGCCATTGATTTATGTGTTGTCAGTATCTGGGGAAAAGGTTTGCGGGCAGTTCCATTAGAAGCCAGAACTCATTGAATAAGCATGCATGGCCCTGGAAGCCAGAGAGGAGGTAGTTCTCCATGTCACGCTCTCGATTTCAGAGATAGTCAGTACCTTTGCCGGGCCTTCTCTGGCAATGTCCAGGTCTGAAGTACCCCCTCAGTGGCCTGTGCAGTTTGTGTCTCATTTTTGTTTTGTTCTCTTCTGCAGACAGCCACCAGTCCATTCCTCATTTTTGGTTCCTAGTGTGGCTTGACGCTCCTGAGGAACAGTCTCTAAACCCATTCTGTTTTCCACCAGGGACTGCTCTGAGGGAACAGAGAATTCTTGTGGGGCAGGAGGTGGAGTGGCTTTAACACAGGCCGAAGTCACTGTGTGGCTACAAATGCACGAAGAAATGTCTTTCTTATAATTGCCTCATCTAATGGTTTGCTCTGCAAGTAAGATTTTCATCCACCTTTCTCAAAAAAGGATTCCTCAGGAATCCACCAGGATTGGTGGGAGATGTTGGGTCATCTGACCTTCTTTCTGATCAAATTCCAGAATGCTAATGCTCTAAGAAAATTCAGAAAGCCCCCAAAATAGCTTCCAAATTTCATTTTCATATGCTAGTTCTGATGACCAGGCATGTCAAATTGCATGACATTAAGTTTCCTACTTCAGACATAGTAGTTGGGTGGTTAGCGTCACTGATTTCTTCCAGCAACTGACCTACTAGTGCCCTTCAGCTTCTGTCTGTTTCTCTATGACCCCTGAGAACTTATGGGTGCAACCAGACCCTTCTTTGCCTAGGCCAGAAGACCTTCTCAAAACTACAACTGCTAGGCCCAGATGGTGTGCAAGACATATACACACCAGTGTGTCCACCTTCCACTGAAAGGAGAACTTAGTCACAGAACATGCCTATGACATCCTCTGCTGCATAAAATGTAGATACAGGTAGAAGAGATGCCCCAAAGAGATGCATACAGCCAGAGCTATGTTGAGGGCAAAGATCCAAAAGTGGGGCCTTTGAGATGCTCAGCAGGTAAAGGCACCTGAAGCCAAACTGATGACTTGAGTTGGATGTACCATTGTGGAAGAAGAAAAACAACTCCAACCTATTGTCCTTTGACATTTTCACATGCTGTGGGGCACACACACACACACACACACACACACACACACACACACACACACACACACGAAATAAACGTAATAAAAATCCAAACTTTAAAAAAACCTACATGGGTGGAAAAATATAGTTAGAATATATGTACCCCAAATTCGATATCCCATAATTACCCTTGCACCTTGTATTGGTACTTTAACAATACCTGCTCTCCTGGAAAGGTTGTAGATCCAGGTTGGAGTGCAGATAGGGAGGAACTAGGGGGAAGTAAAAGGAGGGGAAACTGTAATCAGGATATATTGTGTGAGAAAAGAATCCACTTTCAATAAAAGGTAAAAATAGCTGTTCTTTTTGTTTCTTTTGCATAATATCCCCCCCACACACACACACCCTCATTGACATCATGTTTGGTCAGTTTGTACATTTTAAGTGATTTCTCAAAAGTCTTTCTGCACACAAAAGTTCCTATAATTGTGGACACATTTACAGATAACTACTCGCTTAAAACTAGAGTCTTTCACAATTTCATTCATTGTTTCTTATTGTCAGGGATGAATGCTACCAAATTATTACTGATCCCCAGGAACTAACAGGTATTAAAGCCTTACTGAAGTTGACATCCATAAATGTGAGGGACACCCTGACTCCAAAAACAATGGATAGCATTATCTCCTTCATCTCATCTCTCCCTTTGCTAAATCCCCTTGTTCCTTTCTCTACTGCTTGCAAAGTTAACTTTTCTGCCATGCTCACCACTAGCATTCAAGTACCACAGTAAACAGATACATCAGTGCACAGAAAACACATGCAGAAAGCTCAGGCCTTCTTGAGATAAGACTTAATTTTGTAAAGCATTATTTTTGACTAAGTGTTGCCTTCTGTATGAGTCCTATAGCTTTCATTAAATTTGGATAATATCATATGAGTCCATGATATCTATTAAATCCATAGATTTAATTATATTTTAAAAACTCAACTTTGGGACTGGTAAGATGGTTCAGAGATAAAGGCACTTGCCATGCAAACTGATGACCAGGTTTGGTCCTCAGAACTCATGAAAAGTTAAAGAAGAGAACAGACTCCACAGTTGTCTTCTGGCCTCCACACATTCGCCATGGCCTGTACATGACCCTGCTGAGACACATACCACACACACATGCAATAATTCTTCATTGTTGAACCCTCAACTTCCTTGTTTTCAAATCCACTTCATCAGTGCATTAAGGGAGACTTAGATTGCCACTATCATCTGCCATCTAAGTATGGCTGCTTACTTGACTTAATTATTCTGCGTTGACTCTTCCTTCCTGAGTGCTCTCACGCCTATCAAAAGACAGAGGATTGGCAAATACTGTCTTGAAAGAATGCTATGGCATACAGGCTAGTTAACCTCTTAACTGGGATGGGAAGAGAACCGGAGAAGAGGAGGAGACGGGAAGGAGAAAGAGCAGGGAAAGGGAGAGGGGGGAAGGGGAGAGGAGAGAAGGGGAGGAAACTCTTCTGAGTACATACTTTGAGTTCCACCTCACAGCCCAGTTATCATTTACCCAATCTTCAATTCCTGTCGAAGTACCATTTCTTACACAAAATACACACATGCATGCATGCGCGCACACACACACACACAGAGTTCGCTAAACCTCCAAGTCTTGACTGCCTGTACCCCAGGGATTTCATGTCTTTGTGGTTATCCCAAAGGGTCACAGCAGCCTCTGTTCTATCCTATCACCAGAATGCCTGCCGCAGTGCCTCGGTAAGCCTACCACATATGACACACAAATGTGCTAAGATAAATGACCTCTGAGTCATCACTTCCTCGTTTTACGTCTCACAATAACTATGTGGGGGAAAGGGGGATTTCAAGTTTCTTTTTTGCAATGAAATGCTGTTAGTGTTTTTCCTTATAAATGTTTTTTCTCCAAAATTAAGATCAAAGATCTGTGAATGAGAAGGCAAATCAGGAGGGCTGGAATCTGACTCAGTGGTAGAAATCTAGCCTAGCATTTGTGAGGTTATGAGTTCAATTCCCAACGCTACCAAAGGGGAAGAAAGAATCTAAGGTCCAGGACACTGGGGTAGGGCCCAATTGGAGGAGATGATGCTGTTACACACCCAGGACAGCAAATTATCTTTCTGATCCTGTGCCAACCAGATCCCTGACAGAGATCAAATTAACAAGGTAAGCCATTTCCAAATCTTAGAATCTGCCTAGCAGCAGAGTTCCTGTCAAGGCAAGAAGTGAGCTTACCGGAAAGAATCTGCTTTCTCAAACAAGGTAAAGGAGAGGTTAGGGCAGTCTCTGCAGGATCATTTAAGAAGATTTTATGTGGGAAAGAGACTTTTTTATTTTTTTTCAAGAAATAAATAATATCAAGAAGAGAATTAACGATGGATTAAGCTTTTACATTTTCTCTGTTTAATTAATATTTTCGTTGCCAAAATGGGCAGCCTCCCCTTCCCTGTCCCTTGTCTCTCTCCTCCTTCTTGCTCTTCCTCTAGTAGGCTCCCAACCCATTTATCTATCAGTTTTGAGACAGTGTTTCAAGTTGTCAAATGTGACCTAGTACCCCTGATTGCCCCTCCCCCACAGTGTGAGATGACCAGCATGTACCACCAAAGCCCAGTGTATGTGGCACTGGGGATCAAACCCCAGGCTTCCTGCATCCTAGGCAAGCTGATACATTAGCCAAAGTTCTGGGTAGCTGCATTATCCCTTATGAGTCTTTTCCTCTATAAGCTTGCTCTTGGGGACCAGCATGTCTTTAATGCCTTCTGTTCAGGACAAACAAGAAAAGCAGGCCAGATCCTGGGGTCTGGAATACACAAGGTAATGGGTATTAACAATTCCTGAGCTGATGCTGACCCAGAGTAATGAGTCCCATCCTGTGGAGGGAGGAGGTCCTCTCAGGTGCCAGGTAGATAGAGTCTCAATTTTTCAAGTCTCAACTCTGCTTTTCTGTCATTTCACCCCTCTAAACTTTAAAACCTTCATCTGCTGAGGGAGTGAGAGTAAACGAAGAGGATGAGAGCAGCCCAATCAGCTCTGTGCCTGACATACCAAGTGTGTTGTCCACATTAGCCACAACTACAACACAACATGTAACAATCATAGGCAAAACTCAGAACCGAATACAAGGCTTCTTTCTAGTCAATTGGAAAAAAGAGTTGGGGCCACTTTATCGGGAGTGTGAACCAGACAGACACAGTCAATTCTATTCAATTCTGTTTAGTTTACTTTTGTTTTTGTTGCATTGCTATATTAAATTAAGGTGGCAAAAAGATATTAAGCTGAGTTGTGGAAATGACAAGTTTTATCAGTTAGACAAGTCTAAAATTCTGTACATACACTTCTTTTTCTCTTTTTCTAAATACAGATAAGGATTTTGAAAAAAAGAGAGAGAGCATGTTATAATGCTATTTTGTATCCTGCTTTTTCTTGCCACTGAGACATGGTCATCTCTTTTTTTTCTAAGTGATATAGTGCCAATGCCATCATTTAACTATATAATAATATACAGATGTAACAAAATTCATTTAATCAATTTCATAAAATAGTTATTATTGGGGTTGTATGGATGTAGCCATATATTCTAGACTCATCAGTTTGGTTCTAACTTGGGAAATATCCTACAATCCCAGGGCTTCATTTCTGCCATCTCAAAAATGAGAAATACCCTCTCTATAGATAAAGATTGTTCCACAGGTCAAATGAACAGACATATGAAAACATGTTTCTATATGGTAAAGTGCTACATAAATGCTTGTGCTTATCAAAGATGCTAAACAGACACTCTCCTCCATGGGATGAAAACAAGAAGATATTTGTTTGACACGCTATTGATCAAATTAAGGTCAAGTATATGCCTGTGGGAAGCTCATAGCACAGGCAGAACTGCTTCAGCCTGATTTAGGTGCCGTTATCTGTCCAGTCTTTTGATATGAAGTCAGTCTGTTTTATTCTTAGGGGGACATTGGGGTCCAATGAAAATAATTTCTTTTGGAAAGCAGGGTGAACCATTAGATCAGTCTTGGCCACCTGCTGTATCTTCGGTGTGCTTGTAAATGGCCAGATATTAAATGTCCATCTCTTGACTGACTTTGAAAAGTTATACAAAGAAAGGAAGTTGGGCTACCTTGGCAGGTACTAGTGCCCACCGGGCTTAATGTTAACATATTTAGAGCCTTCTAAATCCTCAACTTCTCCCACAACTACCTTCCCAAGCCATAGAAACAAATCTACTTCCTTCAAACATTAATTAATTGAAGCTTTCAAATAGGTTCTAATCTCAGGAGTTGAAGTAGACAACGGAAATTTCTAAAGTTCTTATATGCCCCACAAATTAGCTCTCTAAGTTAGATTACTTACATAGTAAAAGAGAGACTTGCCTTTAATTGCATCTCATTTCCCCACCATTATTACTCTCAGGTATGTGGTATCGACAAGAAGGTTTTTCAAACAACCATTTCTTTAAGAACAGACCATTTATTAATAACAACTGAGAAGTAATAGCAAACAAAACCCATTAAAGACTGGTTAATACCAGGAAACCAGGTTTAAGCTGTTTGAGGCATTGTTCTCTAATCTGCTGAGATGCAGGCAATTCTGACTGAGGTGCAGCCCCAGCTGAAAAACCAAGATGGGTGCTCCAAAACAAACCGATTCCAGCACACGTGTTCATGTTCACTGCACCTCTGAACAAAACCACTGAAATCTACCTTCTCAAATACAATCCTCTTCCAAAAGCAAGACTTTTGAGTAGAAAAAAAAAAAAGCCTTATGGGATAAAATGACCAAAGGAGGGAAAATATCAATGCCTTATATAGCAATCGCAATTGTGGCTCTGCAGAATTCATGGCAGCATGGATAAGGCACAAGGTTTACTGGAAGGAGTGAACATAAACGTGTTTGTATTTTACAGATGCAGCTATGAAAGGAAGCTAAAATCATATGCACAAGCCAAAAACAAAAACAAAAAAACATATGTGGTAGAACTGATAGTTGAACAAATTAAGCTTACATTCCACACGTCATTCCTGTAGGAGCCATCAAAGCACAATTCTGAGTGACAAATGAACAAACGGTACAACCCACCTGTGTGCTTCCTTCTGCGCCCGGCCTCCTCCCGCTTGCCCTGCCTTCCGACTCTGCCCTCTCTCCTGGCTGTCTCCCCATACGATGCAGCTTGTTCATTTAAAGCAAGAGTGAAACGGCCAACTCTGTTTTATGAACAGTGTTAGCCAATAGCAAGAAAAGAAGGAACTTGGGTCAGCAGGTCCTCAGCTTGGTGGCAGGATCGTGGGAATGAATGCTGGCTTCCTTCTTTGGAAGGCAGAGAATTTCCAGCTAGTGACCATCGTACCAAGTCACCCTGGAATTATCGTCCTCTAATGACTCTTGATGTTTTTGTTGTTGGGATTTCTTTTCTTTTCTTCTTACCTTTCTTCCTTCCTTCCTTCCTTCCTTCCTTCCTTCCTTCCTTCCT